CACTCGTCACTGTTCTCCACCTGGACATTGAACCATTGACAATGACTCTTTGAGTGCGACCATCCAGGCAATTCCTTATCCATCGAGTAGTCCATTGATCAAATCCATGTCTCTCCAACTTAGAGACAAGGATGTCATGTGGGACAGTGTCAAATGCCTTGCACAAGTCCAGGTAGATGACATCAGTTGCCCTTCCCTTATCCACTGACGCTGTAACCCCATCATAGAGGGCCATCAGATTTGTCAGGCACGATTTGCCCTTAGTGAAGCAGTGTTGGCTGTCACCAATCACCTCCTTATTTTCCATGTGCCTGAGCATAGTCTCCAGGAGGGTCTGCTCCATAATCTTGCCAGGTACGGAGGTGAGACTGACTGGCCTGTAGTTCCCCAAGTCTTCCTTTTTTCCCTTCTTAAAAATGGGGGTTATGTTGCCCCTTTCCCAGTCAGGGGGAACTTTGCCAGACTTCTCAAAGGGAGGGCTAGGGGTTTCCTAACCTGATCCCTGGCTGCTTGGATGGTTTCTCTGTACTCCTCCCAGGCTACCTGTCCTTGCTTCCACCCTCTGTAGGCTTTCTTTTTGTGGTTGAGTTTGCCCAGGAGCTCCTTGTTCATCCATGCAGGCCTCTGGGCGTTTTTGCCTGACTTCTTTGTTGGCGTACATTGCTCCTGAGCTTGGAGGAGGTGACCCTTGAATATTAGCCGATTGTCTTGGGCCCCTCTTCCCTCCAGGACTTTGGCCCATGGTGTTCTACCAAGGAGATTCCTTTACACAGCATGTCCACTTACATATTTGTTTCTGTTATCCATTAAATAGATGGGAATGATGCATGTCTCCCTGTGGGATATCAAGAGCAGTGCTTTTTCTGTTCAAAGCAACTTGACTCTTGTAATACTTTTTTTTTTTAAAGTTGCCAGTCTCCTGACTGGAGAGTTATCTGATGTGAATTTTTAGTGAAGCCTGTCCCTCAGTATGTTGTTTAGCCAGAACTGTCAAAATGCTTTTGGAGAGGCTGGATCAGCCACTGGGCTATGGTCTGCGCGATGGCGGTATGATTCAAAACTTGCTGCTGTGCTACGGAAGAGTTGCTGTGTTTGCTGACAGAATGGAACCAGGCTCCTTGGACTGCATCCTGGCTCTGAGCTGTACTCTGCCCTTTGTGGTGCAGATGTGTGGGCCAGCACAGATCAGGAATCTCTGGGAGGTTGGTAGGGACGCTTATTGCGTCTGCTTAAAAAGTATGTCTGGTTTCTCAAGACTGCATCTCCTGATCTATTGTATGTGAAATTACAAGTGAGGGCAAGCTCTGACTCCTGGAAGACTTTTAATTCTGTATTTAACTGGTCAAGATTTGTTCGCTTGGTTACATAGACAAGCTTATTGCTAGTGTATTTTATCTTATTACTTGTTTCAGCATGTAGCTGTCTGGAAGAACCAACTGTTGCATTGGTGATGGTCAGATTTTCTTCTCCTTGTACTTTTGATTGCTGTATGAATTGGTTTGTGTCTTTCTTTCCTTGACATTGTTATATTACACTAGTTATTTTAATGTTCTTTTTGAATTAACACCTTCCAAGCATTTTACTACCATGAATATAATTGCAAAGGCCAGTGCTGAGAGTTTAATTAAAAAATGAAATAGGCTCGCTTCTTTGTTTTGTTGGGTTTTGTTGTGGTGGTTTTTTTCTTCCTTTGTCTGCAGTGGATCTTGTATGCTTTGATTTTGTTACACTCCAGTTTCAAATCTCTGACACAGCTGCTTTTGTTTCCTCTTTCTGATGGTAAATACGCTACTTCTTGTTTCATCACAGTTCAATGAAAAGTAATGTTCTTCTGTGATCCAGCTACTGTCTTCTGTAGGTATATTGTTTCTGTTCTCAAGCTTTTGCCAAGCCCATTGAGCAGAGCTTTGATCTTTTTCTCTGGCCTAAACAAGTGTCCAGAGTAACTTTTTAACATATTTGTGCTACTTTTAACCAGATACAGGGCTTTTTGTAAGCATCTGGCCTAATGGGCTGCCATTCCTGATCTCTTTTCTTCAATGTCCAGTTTCATTCTGTACTGATATTCTAATTATTGTGGGTTTTTTCCCAATTTTTATACATTTGTTTTTTTCTTGATTATAAATCATTGTTATCGCTTGTGGCTTAGGCTGTATTTTTTTTTTTTAATTGACAGATCATGTGAACTACAGAATGTCTCTCCAGTTCTTTCAGTGATAGATATCCAGATGTTTGAGAGCTATGGAAAAAATATATATTGGGCAATTGGAATAACCTAAGGGAACTGTATCTTCCAAACTTTTTTCCCTTAAAGCTAAGTTACACCTTGAAGTAACA